TGGAAAGATGGTCACTCAGCCTGAACACATTGGGGTGGAAGGGCGAGGCCCTGCCCCGGATGATATAACAGACTTTGGAGATTCCCCCATGGAGGGCCTCATCCTCCTCATCCTCCCTGTGGAGGGGAGTGGGGACTAATTTGAGAGTTGTGGGAGTTGGTGGGGGGCATGGAAGGAGGTGAGGGAGAAGGAGCTGGGATTGACATGTGAAGCAAGATTGTTTCTAATTTAAATTTTAAAATAACAGAAAAAAGAATAGATCCATACTTAATTCTCTCCTAACTCATCCAGTTTAATATTCTAAAGACAGAATGCACAATAGGAATATAGGAAAGATTTCTAAAAGTGCTGTTTAAGTTAGACAAACTGATCGACAATGTTAAATACGTAGATTCATTGAATTTAGTTTTATGCTATCTTAGGAGATGTATTCATCATTATAATTCTATTCTTCACATTTATTTGAACTTTTAGCATTCAGGCTATTTTCTATTATAATTTCTGTAAACAAGGGTTTCTTGCTATGAAAAAAATCACTGCATACACTTGTTCCAACACAAGCAAAATTTAAGAGCATGGAGTTTTAAGTGACTTCTATTTTCTCTGATTTTTCATTAATTTTTATCACCAATTTCAAAACTAAAAGCCAACTGTAATATGATGACCCAAATATTCCAGAGGCAAGAAGTTGCTATGTTCACCTTCTCTCATCAGCAAACAACAGAGAGACGGTTTTTAATTATGTTACTCATTTACTTTACATAGTTAAAGCAGACATTTTTTAAGGAGGTCAAAGTTTATTGATCTTACCAGATCAAGTATGCAATAGCTTCCATGAAATTTATCCTTACAATATAGTATTTATGTGTCTGACTTGATTATGTTTATCTTTTAAATAAAACATAGCCACCATACAAGAAATCAAAGACCCATTTTCCCGAGATTTCAAAAAATAAGTAGAAAAAAAAAAGAAAAGAAAAGTGGGTTTTGTCTGAGCCAAATCTTTGCTATGTAGAGGATGAAATATAGGTGTAAGGGATGGGCATTGAGTCTTTCAAAGAACTCTGGGTAGCAAATTAAATTCATTAATTTGGTCATATACAAGCCCCTATTTTATATGCTTGAAAAGATAAGCAGTGAGCAAAGTAAAAAAAAATTATTTCTCCACAAAAGCTTATTTGCAAAAGATGTGTGGTAAAGCAAAAACATAAGGTGTGGTATCTTGGAGCTATAATGTGTTAGGGAGAAACACAAAGAAGAGACTTAGGAGAGGAGATGTCTTGCGTGTGACTTGGGGAAGGTTTCACTTTATTTGGGGGAAATAGGGAGATGTGAGTGACATATCCAGGATCACACACATGAAAAGGCAGGACTTCTATATCCTCCTTTCTAACTTGCAACTGAAATACACAGAAAAGGAATTCCCAGAGAACAAATTGTAAGAAGGGCAGGGTTGCTTTTGACAAAGTAAGGAGGCTGATTATGATTCCAAGAGCTGAATTTATGTACACAGTGAAAAAGGTAGGATACCTTTCACTAGGAACTAAGCAATCAGATCCGTGTACGGAGCTGAGGTGTCAGGGAAAATTTGGTTTTGTCTTGTTACTGACAATGAATTACTACAATATAGACAAAACCAACAATGTGGTGGTGTGAGGGATGTCGGAACTGTAGCTGTACATGAGATAGGAAGTAAGAAGTTCTGGTTAGAAGGACTAATATAAGACACTGGAATAATTGGGTAGTGGAAATGAACTTGAAGTAGATGAATCACTGGTTGTGGGTGAGGAAGTAGAGAATGAGTCAGATGTAAATGCTAGATATAGATAATGGGTGATGAGAGGAGGTGTCCTTGAATCAAGACATCAGTTTGGAGTAGACTGATGTTAATTTTATTTTGGAATCATTTTAGAATCTTGAAAACACTGCAAGATAATTGCAGGACATTTGCAAGCCAGAGTTGGAGTGGCTGCACAAAATAAATGCTCTACTGGGTTATCCAAATGAGAACACTGGGAGTCATCACAAGTTGTTTCCTGTACCTCTTCCATATCATCTTGTGTTCCCTCAGGCTATAATTCTTCCCTTTCTCTTCCAAAGGCACTCCCATCTCTTTCTGTCTCTGTGGTCCAGTTTACACTGTTTTATTTCCCTGGTTCTTCATAACATGTGTCCTTGTTTTTTCACCTGCAATTTTATTCTAGAGCATATTTTTAAAACACCTATCTCATATGGTAGAAGGTAATGAGTGGAAACAAACTATCACTTATGGAATTGTACATCACTCATTCCCGGGGTGTTCACTAAGCATGTACTATTTTGTTTTTCCTTCTGTAAGTTCAAGCTTGCGTCTTTGGGGAGGTTGTGATTATCCTCATTTAAACAGGGATGCTGGAGCACAGACAGGCTCAGTAAAGCATGCAATGGGAAAAAATGAGTGCATGAAAACACTTGGACTGAAGCAAACCTTCTCTATTTTTCCTGGTTTGAAAGCAGGAGCTACTAACTCACCTACATTTTAAACAAAAGTCCAAGTTATTCTCCTGGCACACAGAACCTTTCCATCCCTGCTACCATTCGTGTTGGGAGACTGGTACCATTTGAGAATGCTATGCTTTCTCATGCATAAGCTGTGTCCTGGGTTTGCCATATAGAAAGGGCTCTACACTTGATGTCCTTATATAGCCTTTCACATTATCTCTGTGACCCATGCTTTGTTCTCATTCCTTACCTAGAATCTAGACCCATGCTCTTTATAACCTTCCCAAGTTGATAACATCACTTCTTCCTGAAGGCTAAGTCACCCCAGTAAGTTAATATCTTCAGTACATATTGGTAAATTGTGTTTAATAATCTATAAAGTTGCATGTCTGTTTTCCTACTGGATTGTAGCATGCTTAAGTATCTGAGCTATCTCTCTCTCTCTTATTTTAGATATTTATTCATGTCACCAAGAACAGTGCTTGCATTAAAGTAGGGACTTGACCGTATTTTATTTTAAGGTGGAAGAGGGGGAAGGGGAGTTTAAAGAATTGACTAACCCTCAAAGAAAACTCTCACACTGGAGACAGACCACACTTACATGATCTTCCTTGATTCATCAATTGTTACCTATAGGCACTTACATTCACAAATATTCATTAATCAGAACACATTTCATGTTTAGTTATGTGGTTGTAGCACCATTTTGGTGTGACCTTTTCATGGGGTCATTTTTCTCTTGCATCATAATATTTGAAGGACAATCTTAGAATGTGTGTAATATACATTCTTAGATTGAGTATGCACAATATAGGGACTTGAGCTCAGGCAAGATCCACAGAGTAGCTCTGTAGGGAGAGATCAAGTACCTTTAGCACTAACCACACCCATTTGGGGGTGACCACAGGTATGTGGGAGATAAAGAGCTAGGGGAAAGAGGAGAGGGCTCTCTCTTGGGTTCCCATGGAGGTGCTGAGACCAGCAGAGTGCTGATCTCAATTCTCGGCTTCTCATGTAAGTGATTTTTCTCTAATAAAATAACATACGACCTCCCTACTCTGTGTATGGTGATCTTCCTCTCACATAGCTCTTCTTTTATCGAGTTCTCAGATGGGGACATGTCTGAGAAGACACTAGGATTCTGATTTTAAAGGATCTGGGTAAGGCAGTAAGATGCTGTCTGAGAGTACAGGAGGATCTATAGGAAGCACATCATTACCAATTCTAGGTACATAAATTGCACCCAAACACATAAATGAAAAGTTCATACACGTTTTTTGCCTACTGATTATTAACTAGAGACAGGAGGCTGAGGAAGGATGAAGCAAGTATAGTGAAAAACAAATCAAGCTGAATTAAAATGGAAGTAAAGTGTTCCTTAAACTATACTGCGTCACTGTAAAAGCCTTTTGATTTATAAACTATGCACTTGGTCATCTGGGTAAGATGGTATAAACCCCGACAAATAATGGATGGATAATTTCTACTCAGACTGAAATCTTCTAATGAACAAAATTATAGATACATGGTAAATATATGTTTTAGCAGGCACGCAGTTAGCTCTCCATTACAAGGCTCTGCATCTTCTTCATTCTGTAGAAAACATGACCAGAGATGTTAGTGTCCCTATCATAGTCTCTGACTATTTCAGTCCCCATGGTGAAATGATGCTCTTAAAGTCCTAGGCAGTGGGAACATTTGTGGCACAGACCTCATGGAGTGCACAGATTGAAGGCATGAGGCACTTGGACCCTTGAGGACATTTTAATACACTAGAGGCAACATATACTGAGGAATTTTGTGAACATACAAACAACAGACTCTACAATACTGACTGAGGAGGGACAGGCGAGATGGCTTAGTGGATAAAAGTACTTTATGACCTGAATTTAACTCTCCACCCTCACATGGTAGAAGGAGAGAACAGACTCTCACAAGTTGTCTTTTGTATCTACACATGCAAGCCATGGCACATGCAGGACCCCCATAAATAAATGTAAAATACTATTTGAGAAGGACTGTTTTTAGCTCTGCTCCATTTTATATAAAAGTATTTCAAGTGTAGAATTTATCTGTTATTCCTACCCAAGCCTAATCTTAAGAATAAATATAAGAAAGAAGAAATAAGTAATCAAAAACATATATATTATCACATAATTTATCACAATGATTCATCCTTGCATTTTCTTAGAGGTAATATTCAAGTTTATTTAAAAACAAACGTTTTTTTAAAACATTGTACTTACCGGCACGAATGGGCTTTGGGAACCCATCCCTATGGTGGGGGAGACACTCTCCCAGTCTAGATAAATGGGAGAGGGCCTAGGTACTGTTAAAATGGTGTGACAGACTTTGATGATCCCCTATGGGAGGCCTGACCCTCCCTGAGGAGTAGTTTCAGAGGTGGAATGGGGTTTGGTGGAAGGAATGGAAAGACAGGAGGGAGAAAGAACTGGGATTGGTATGTAAAATAAGATTGTTCTTAATTTCAATAATATTAATTTAAAAATTGTACTTACCAGAAATACTGCTATAGATATTCCAACTAGAAAGCCTGCTATCACATCTGACCAATGATTTCGATATTCTGCTACTCTGTTGAGTCCAGTAAGAAAGGCCAAACACATTAATCCCAAGCATAGAACAGGTTTAGCAAGTCTGGTGCCTTTGGCTTTGATAGTGTTGGTAATGTACATCTGAAATAGCAAATAAAACAAGACTTTTCACAAAAGCATCTTCTTGATATTCACATGAATTACATTATGTATAAATTACAAAGATATATTTATCAACTCTATGTGACTGTGTGGTTTTACTCATCAACTATAGTTTATGATTCCAGTAATTTAAAAAGGAGAGGGACCTGGAACTGACTTGTGAAGCAACCTTGTTTCATATCTAAATTTAAACTGGAAAATAAAATTAAAAAAAAAGTTAATTATTTGCTGGCTGGTTTCCAACTCCCTACATAGGGAAAGCTGACTTTGGATGCTGGGATTATAGGTGTGTGCCACCACACCTGAAATGAAATTTCTCATGATGATTTCTTAAATATGGAATTTAAGATTGCCAATTATTTAACTTTATGTATCTGTCATGGCCATTTGTTACTAATGACCATTTTTTAAAAATTGTGTGTATGTACACATGATTGCAGGTAGTGGCAAGATGTAACAAATCAACTGGAACTGGAGTTATGGGTAATTGTTAGCAGTGGGGCGGTAGTGCTGGGAACCAACTCAAGTCCTCCACCAGAGCAGTGAGTGTTCTTACTGCTAAGCCATCTCTTCAGTCCAATAACAACCAGTTCTTATGTAACAGCAGCAGTCAGCTAGGAACATGAGCAGTTATTCCAAGTGATCTCCTACCATTCATCCTACTATCATTTTATGCACTTTTGTTTCATCTGAATTTATGCTACGTTATGCTTAACATTGATGTTACAGGGGATAAACTGATGATGTATTGGTGTTTCCATTTGTATGTGCTGTACTTGATCAAAGCAGAATTAAAAAATAGCTAGAAAAATGAAATGGAGATTTCTACCAAATTGATGTGAAGGTAGTCCATACAGTGAACAACCAAGGCTGGCTTTTATGTTGTTATCTGAAAGCATGAGATTAAATGTCAATAAAGAACACTCAGGGTCAACTGGTTAAGGTAAAGGAAATAAATCCAGGGTGAGCAAGCATGCTCAGGAATAATTTGGCTCCTCTCAAAACATCACTTATTCTATAGCTTCATTTCTCCTAACTTAAATCACATATCATTCTATTAGCAAACCTGTTGACTTCAAGAGGATACAGAAAGTATGAAAGAGGCAGGTTTCAAAGTACAAGTTGATTTATGGTGTTAATGTCAGTAAATATCTGGTACTGATAACACACTCAGGAAAACAGTTATAGATAGACATATCTATTACATTCTATAATCTTGACTGTTAGCTTGAGTCAGACAGAAAATACATTTGCTTATGAGATTAGACTAAAAGAACTGTATCTAAGCTGTTAGTTCATAATGACCATTTTAGAGCACTAAGAAATACACTAATTATCCTTTTTTTGCTGTTTTTCAGGGCAATGTTTGCAGCCTGTTAGCTGCCAGAAGATGTATGCATGCATAAGCAGTTCAAACAATTCTAGTTTTCTCCATGGCCAAGTTCTGGACTTTGTAATTTGTCTCAGAGCTCAATATTCTCAAAGAAATATTAAAAAAAGGAGAGAGGGAGAACTGCCAAGTCAGTTCCGGCAGAGAGCGTGGCGAGCTAGGCACTGCGGCCTCCTTCCTCCCGGCCCCCCCACCGCCTCCGGCCTGCGCCGGGTGAGCCGGGGGGCCCGGGAGCAGCTTCGGTCTGCGTCCTTCGGACCCTAGGAGCCCGAGCACCGGCTCGGCCGAGCCGCGATCCTACAGCGACTCTTCCTCCGCCAGCGAAGCGCCGCGATGGCGGCGACCCCCCGCGCGCGGCCTCCTTGACCCCACCGGACCCCTGCTCTCCAGGGCCGGGCCCATAGAGAAGCTCCAGGCAGGTCTTCCATGACTTCTCCCGGTGTCGGCGGGCGTGGCATGGCGGACAGAATGGGGCCACCCGAAGGCCAAGGTTGGCCCTTCGGGGCCTCTGCAGCCTGAGGCGGTGGATCTGCGCAGGAACCCTCGGCCATCGCTGGGAGCGAACCACCCGATTGACGAGCCCGCGGACCTGGATGAATGAGGCCTCGACGGTCCTGGAGGAAGGTGAGCCGAGCCCCGCATAGCGGCCGGAGGAAGGTTCGGTCCTGGGGGCGCGGGGTCTCCTTCCACCGAAAGAAGCCTGAACGAGACATCGTAGGCGGCCAGTCGGAAACGCTGGCGAAGATTTGCCCGCCGCCTTAGAAGGCCTTGTATATAATATGAAAAAGCTGCTCTCAACCTTTCCCCCGACCCTTTTAGAGAGACCTTTGGCTAAATCTGGACATGTAGCTGTAGTGATTGCCGACGCAGGGTAAAGTAGAGGTAGGACATCACATGTGTGTATCCAGTCGTCTTAAAAAAACATCGTAGACGTGTCTTCCAGAAGTGACTTTGCAATGGAATTGTTTAAGCCACATCTAGAAAAGACCCCAGGAGCGACACTCGTCCTTGTCTGTTCAATAGGCCAGAGGACCCAGCAGGAGGAAGAAGAGGTCCGGAGCCAGATTGGTTGTGTGAAGACGTCTGTTTTTGGTGTTCTATTGTGTATACATTTTATTCATTCCAACCCCCCCGTGTGTGTGTGTGTGTGTGTGTGTGTGTGTGTGTGTGTGTGTGCTTGCGCGAACGCGCTATCTCACAGTGTGATGTGTGTTTGACAATGCCAAGTATTTTTTGGGAAAGATCTTTCTAGATACTCTAAAGTGCCTGATATATTTTATAAGTAGCAGTAGTAGTAAAACAATACATTATGTAAATACGCTTTTGTTAGGATTCATTTGAAATATTGTTTGGGGAGGAATAGCCAAAGCCCTCCTGAGCTGACCACATTGTGTTTGTCCCCTGGTTTCCAGGAGAAGGAAATGAAGAGCTCTAAGTCATTGTGTTCCATGGGCGGAAAAGAAACCACTGTCCCATTTTGTTAGGCTTTGCTGTGTAAATAGCATATGTAATTATATAAAGGACAAAGGAATCCTATTTACAACATCTGGTCACTCTAGATGTTAAAGAGGTTGCCAGTGTATGACAAAGTAGAGGTAGTAGAACAATATTTTATACGTTTGTGTTAAAATTTTTCTTTTTGTGTTAAAATTTTTTGATTATTACTCTTGATATAAGTGTGCCGTTTACTGGACTGCTGTGTTCATAGTGGACAACAGTCCTTACTTGAAACATCTGGTCTATCTAGATGTTTAGAAGTGCCCAACGTATGTTAAATGTAGAGGTAGTAAAATATCACTTTGTAAATATCTTTTTGCTAAAATTCACGAAACGCTGCCTTTGGGGTGGAATTATGAACCCCTCTGTGAGCAGTTCCGTCTGTCCTTGCTCAGTGCTTTGGAGGAAGTGCTGGGAGGCAGCGAGGTCGTGTGATAGTGTTTTCATAAGGGACCTCTCAGATGCCATTTCTATATATTTGCTGTGTGTGTACTGTATATAATGGACAAATATGTCTAAACATTTCAGCTTCTAGTCTCTAAATGTTAAAGAGGTTGCTAATATATGACAAAGTAGTAAAATTAGCACATTGTATACACTGTTAAAATTTATAGGAAAGATTGCTCTGTAAATGATTTGGGGATACGAATTTGTTCCAATTTCTAAGCATTGCATATGCCTGTATTTGTCTACTGGTTTGAAGGCAGAGAGAAGGGAGAAAAGAAATTGGGTCAAAGCCCAGATGGTTACATTTAGAAGATACCTCAGATAATAACCATTGTAAAAGTGTTTGATACATTTAAAAGTAGAAGTAGTAGAATAAAACTTTGTGTAAATGGATTTTGAAAAACTGGAGATACTATGTTTAGAAGTAGAATTGCTAACCCACCTCTGAGAGCAGTACCAGGTGTACTTGTTCAATGGATTGAGGAGGTGGGGGGGAAGAAACTGCAAAAAGATTCCATTAGTGTTCTAGATAGTTTTAGCTTACCCATCACCCCGTATATACATTTCATTTAGCCTTGCTATACTGTATATATTGTACATACTGGACAAAGGAGTCCTAACTTTAGTTTGAAGGCATTAAAGGGGCTGCCAGTGTATGACAAAAGTAGAGTTAGTAAACTAGCCCATTCTGTATACTCTGTGTTAAAGTCATACAAGGTTGTCTTCTGAAAGGGGTTGTGGAAGTCTCATCCAAGTGTTAGGTCCTGTGTCATGTGATACAGGGGAGGTGGGAGACCAGAATGCTCTTAGCAGAAGACACTTTGAGATCTACCCATTGTTACATGTGTGTGGTTTCAACACTACTCTGTATATAGGGGACACATTTATGTCCTCATCTGAAACATCTAGACCTTCTAGGTGTTTAGAAGTGCACAAAGTATGTTAAAGATAGATGTAGTAAATAATACATGTTGTAGATTATCCTGTTTAAACTTGTGGTGAAATGCTGTCTTTTGGAAATGGAATGCTAAGATCACTTCTGAGCAATATATAGTTGTGCTGGTTTGGGAGGGAGGAAGAAAGAGAGTGTGTAAAGAGCCTAATACTAATGTAAGCTTTGGTAATGCAAGATTAGCCATTGTCCTTTTGTCTGTGCATCTTATTTGTGCAATGTGTGCTGCATACAGAAGACGACAAGTCCAAATATACAGCACTTAGTTTTCCTAGATGGTGAAGAGGCTGCCCGTGTGTGACAGTAGAGTTAGTGAAAAGACGTGCTTTTTAAGTTGTGTTAAAATTCATAGGGAAAATTCTTAGGAAGTGAAATTGTTAATATCCTCCACAAAAAAGAAAATAACGGTTATGTAAACTGGGTTGAGAGAGATGGGAGAGGTTCTAGACCAGAACATTGCTATTTATAGGTATATGCAGTTTATTTACTGCACTGCACTGTATGTATGCTAGGGAAACAGAAGTGTTACTGGAAACATCTAGTCTTTAGACTTTTAAGTGTGGCAGGTGGATCTTGTGAGTTCCAGGCCAGCCAGGGCGACATAGACATTGTCTCAGAACAGTAAGAAGATGTGCATAATAGACTGATGGTAAGGCACTTGCCACTCAGCTGGTGACCTGAGTTTGTGCTCCA